AATAATAAATTTCTGAACCTCTAATAACTATATTCTTTAAATACCTTTGAAATTTATAAAGCTAAAGACGCCTCCAAGCAAAAGTATACTGTTTTGTTTACCTAGACAGTGCATTTTATCTTTATCCTTATACACAGCATACCAGTTCAATATCTAATTCCTGTTCTGACTCCCAATGCAGAGTAATTTTGAATTCAAATCAATGTAGAATTTCCCAAACACTATACTCAAGCATTAATGCACTAAATTATTTAAAAAACATTCATTTTATTTTTAATGCATTGGAACTTATTTCTTGTGATGGAATTAATTTGTATGTAAAGAAGGATAAGTACCTTTCCTTATTCTGTAACACCTAACAAATGTAGGTAAACACTTGCTCTTTTCAAAACAAGACAAAATTTGTCGTTTATGAGGTTTTGAAATTTTTAAAAATAGGAAAAATGTATTGCAGGATGATGAGCAAAACAAAAAAACGGAAAATGCACTATTTTATAGCAGGCTTGTATAGAAATACTAGTAACTGAAGCAGAAATCTAGTTAAAGATACATAAATGCATAAATGTTGGCTAAATATACTAATTCTCATATCTCAAAATGGATAAAGCTTGTAATTGCCATAACTCCTAAAGTTCAAGTACATTTTAAAAAATGTAATTGAAATTATTTTAAGATATTTTTAATATTGTATAATGATGCGTTATGAAAATAAGAAAAACATAATGGGTATAAATAAGTCATTTTCATTTTAACACATGCATCAGATTCTGAATGTTATGTTATATATCTAAAGTACAACATTTAGTATACTTCTGTAATATATCAAGTACAAGGAAAAACTAGCAGACAGTATAAAACAGTTCAAATATACAGTGAATTATTCATTCAGTAAATATTTATTGAACATTTACTGTGTGTCAAGGATTGTTTTGGATATAGGGAGTATAGCAGTGAGAAAATTGTGTTTGTCCTTACGAAATATATAGTCACATATGATATATACACATACATATATACACATAGAGACACTTGGCTAAATACTGTGACCCTCATGTCTCAGAATGTATAAAACTTGTAATTGCCATAATTGTTAATGTTCAAATACGTTTCTCAAAAATCATAGCAAAAAAATTGCCATGTGATATATAGAATAACTTTCTAGAAAAGGACTTCAATGTAATGTTACCATTTACATCTAATTCCATATTCCCTCAATATCCAAGTACATCACGTACCTGTGGAACAGAACCGAAGCCTATTGTCTTGACTGTTCTTCACATGACAGCTGCTACCCAGTACCAGTGCCTCTATTTTCTCTAAACTAATCGTCTGAGGCAAACCACAAAAAACTCATGTAAAGTATTTTATGATGTAACCTCTAACCCTACTATAATGGGAAAATGTATTTTCACTCCATGGGTAATATATCTTCTTATAAATTTCTTTAGTCCCTAACCTAGGCACCAACTTTTCAGATTTTCTTTTTCATAATCATTTACCTAGATTCTATGAAAGAAACATTTAAAATAGCATTTGGTTCATAGGTTATCATTGTTCATATTTATCTCCTTTTTAAACTGGTTCTATTTGCCTCTGTTTCTACATATTATTCTGTTAGAACCATTGTTAAAGTGCATTTCTATTATAACATATAAACGAAGGTATAATTCTATAGGATGAGGAATATTTTCATAATACTAAGACTAGATACATTCCTTAGCTTAGTTTCTTGATTTCCACAAGGTATCTTAAATGTTGTATTGGTCCTATATTAAATTTTCTACACAAAATAATTCAAACTGATTTATTAATCTCATTGGAAACTATAATCTTGTTTCAGGATAAATTAGCTGGAAAACTAAAAAATGCACTTATGATCCAAACACACTTCAGATAGACTCTCTTTTATATAAAATTTAAGTTAAAAATTGTTTTACTCATTTGGTACCCATGTTTTTACCTTTCATGTGAAGTTTAGCACAAGCCACATATATTTATGCTGCTTTGCCTAGGAAAAATATTTCTGAAACTAGTTTTGCTATTTACACTAAGTAGTTCTTGTGTCTTATATATGCAGCCCCATGCATGTGCAGTATGGCACCTATATGTGTCAGGTTCTCAAATATCATTAAAGGCTTCTTTTCTATTATGTTTTCTACTGAAATTCTGTTAATAGCTTTTGCTCTGTTCCATTTAATAACCCATGTTAGTCTTACTAGGTGATTTTTTTTTTAACTCACCATATTGTTTATGAAGTGCCTAGCAAATATCCTTGAAGTGGTAAGCCCACAAAAAATTTAATATTCAACACTGGTATTTAAAAGATAAGTGCAGTCTGAGCTTTATTCTTCAATGTAAAGCAAGAACTTATTTTGCATATACAATTGAACTAAAATTCTAAGAAACAGAATTTTTCTAAAAAGTCAGTATCTTCAAAGATTTTCAATAGTTGAAATTAATGTACATGAAAGGGTTTGCTTCTTTTAATTTTATTAGCATATATTAACTGTACAAAATAATGGGTTTTATTATGATAGTCATCCATGTACATAACGTACTTGTTTTCCTCGTAGTCCCCTCTACCCCTCCCCCTCCCACCAGCGCTCTCCTGTTTTCATGTCTTTTTTTTTTAAATCCAGAATTAGTAGATGAAGGAAAACATACAATACTTGTCTTTTGGAGTCTGTCAGAGTTTGTATTTAGCAGATCATTTAGAATTGCCTACATTTAAATAGCCACCTTTTCATATAAAAGTCATAACAATATTTACAAGTCTCAGAATAAATCATAATATTGTTAGATGTGCTTCATTTTTAGAAAGATAATTCTCAAATTTACATCATGTTATCAAAGTTTTAAGGATTTTCAAAAAACCAAGGTCTAGTACTTTCTTTAAAAGTTTGCTTTATTTAGTCTTGTTTTTTACTATAAAATTGATATTAATAGGTTGCACTTATATTTTTACATTTGGAGAGATAAAACACCACCTATTTTCCTATAGAAAAATAGTATTTTTCAAATCTTCTAGGTGTTCCGTGTACCTCAAACATTTCAGAGTTGTACTTTCTTCCTGTGATGAAACAATACTTAACCCTGACTTTTCAGGATATCATCTATTGTAGGGTCCATTTTCCATTTCCTACTGACATTGAAGATTTGCATCTCTGTTAAAGTGTGATTAACATGGCATATTCAGGTGTCTGTTTATAGGACATAATAAGGTTATTTAAGTAAAAAGAGTCTGGCCATGGAAAGAGGAAAATCAGTTTTGGAAAAAGAAGATACCTCAAAATAAATGAAACATATCCAGACCTGCGAAAAAGAAGAGCAAGTGAAGCCGAACTGCTGAGTACTGTTGGGACCAGGGGAGGTCACTTTTTAAGATTTCAATGTTTTCTCTTTGAAAGGGGCCACTGCTTCCCAAATCCAGAAACAAGCCCAGGAATATGTTAATTAAGTACATTGTATCCCAGAAAGAATGAGTTTGACATATGCATTTTTTATTCCTTCAATTAATAAACTGTTTGTCTAGCACATCTTAGATTTTAAAAATCTATAATGTGTATATTTATTTACCTTTGTACAGTAACAGTGCCAAGGACCAACATGACCCCATAGGGTGAATCTTATGAAGCTTAACGTTCCTGGTAAATTAAACACATAAGCCTCAGATCTTTTTGTCAGTCTTACCTTACTGAGGAACTGAGAGCCAGAATGTAAGGTAATTTTTAGATGGTGGCACTTTAGCCCAATTAAAAAAGCAATCATCTTTGGCACAAGCAGACGGAGGAAATATAATGACATAATATTAAAGAAAGGCTTCACAAAGACTGACCAGGAATGCTAACTTGTCTCCCTCCCCACCCCCACTCGCACTTTTTTTTTTTCTGCCCATTTGCTGTTTTTTTTTCTCACAAGTATATCCTGACGTGTAATTTTTTCCCCTTTTCTTTTACATGAAACAAAAACACCTGAGATAAAGACGTAAAAAGATTCATCTTCTACCATCTAAACAGCAGATAAATTTGTGAAGCTATTCTAAATATTCAAAGGCTTATAAATAAAAAATGTAAATTGAATGGAGGGAGGTGAGTGTGATACCGAATGAGCAGATTGAAAAATACTTCTTTTTCAACCCTGATTTTCCTTTCAAACCTTCCAATAGTTACACCACAAATGACTCTTCACATAAGAATTTCTCCGGATGCCTCGAAATACCGATTTCCATGAGGAAATACAACTTAAGACCGTCAAAATGAAAGTGTTAAAATGCAAGCAACTTTTATAGCATTTCAAATGCAAAATCACAACCTTCACTACCTTTAACTGACTCTTAAGGGGTCTTTTCAAAAATGCTATTTACCACATCGTCTGTTAACTTTTTTTGTAATTCAAAACTGTTGCCAAATGATGTTTTCATGATGACGTGTAAATATAATATTCCATTAGAGATCAATTCTAATCGGTTTTTAAAAATCCACCTTGGGAAACAGTGCAGCATAATACACAGACTCGTAATGAGTATTTTAGAAGGAATTTCCGCTAAGTCTATTATAAATCTTAAATCCAAATTATTCTCTTGCCCTACTAAGCTTTGGGCCACAGGATTGAAATTATTTCATGAGCCTTCACGCACGATGACTTTGGACTTGTCTACAAGAATCACGAGCACTTGTTGGAAATTTTCATTTTTAAAAACTGAGCGTTTGCTAGAAATACTTTTTTTCCCACGTGCCTCACAAAGAGAAACTATGAGTTTCTTAGGCTGGGTTGCAATTGTTTCCAAAACGTGACTTAAAGGCATAATGGACGTTTTTCACTTTTGAAATCCACTGTTATTTTGGAAATGCATTTCAGGTTAAGAATCCAAGCCCTTCTATTAGGGGCTAGCTCAGCCCTTCCTTTTAAAACCATAGTTCTCCAACACAAAGAGCTGACTCATATAACACATAGGGGCAGAGAAACATGGTTTTCCGAACTCCTTTGAACCCTGACAATCATTTTCGAATCCATACATTTAAAGATATTCCAAATATAATCCGCTCCAACTTTCCACATGCAATTTTAAAAATGGCCCACATTTGTCGCTTGTCTAGGGATCACTTTATGAACCCACTGGCGCTGCTTTCCCTTGTGACGGGGAGCTGCAGGCTGGTCCAGAGTCTTCCTCTCTGGCTGCAGGGCGGGAAGCCGCCTTCCCCGGGGTCTAGGCTGGGAAAGCCTGAGCAGGCCCCGGAGCCCGCGGGAGTCGGGCAGTCCCGACCAGGAGTGGACGAGCCGCACGCCTCCCCATCTGGGACGCGGCGCCGGGCCGAACAATACGGGAGGCCGGGCTCCCGCTTCCACCGCCGGGCCTCCGGGCGTCTTCCGGCCGCTAGCGCCGGCCTCGGTACCGCAAGCTCCCGCGTGGCCTCTTAGGTCTAGGCCCATTTCCCTCCCGATTTCCCGAGATGGTCCACAAGCCTCGCTGCCACCGCAGCGCCGCGGCTATTTCCTTCCGGAAGAAAAGATTTCCCCCGGAAAGCCAACGGGAGCAGGAAACAGCCAGCGTCGCCCGGCCCTCCCCAGCGCTCCAGCACTAACAGGCGGTCTAGGCCGCCGAGTAGGAGGCCCTCACTGCCCTCAGTTCGGCGGCTTCCACGCTCCGGAGGCCGCCGCAGCCTGAGGTCTCATCTCAGGCCTCCAGGGAGAGGGACGCGCGACCAGGGGCTTCCCGGGCGGAGCAGCCGGACCGCAGGGACGAGCCAGCAGGGCGGGGGCTCG